GTCTACAGCGTATTCATACATTGAGCGTATTCAATCTAAATTCCTCAAATACCTTTGTTTTAAATTTTCCCTTCAATACATTGATTACGAATTAACTTGCACGTCTTTTCGTATCTTAACCCTCAGCCAGCGTCGCTTTTATGGGGATATGTTCTATTTTTATAAACTTTTGAACAAACAGTGTGATTCTCTAATTCTTGTCGGTTCTATATACAGTATGTCCCCGGATCGAGTTACAAAGAGGAAAAAAATTTTTGTTACTGATTTTTCAAACTTATCTCAGCATAAATAATGCGTCGGATTTCAAATTACTAAATCGCATGAATTTTATACTCTAACTATAAAAGTTAACTAATTATTCCAATTTTTATGTAAAAATTGGACTTTTTTCTAAATTGAAAATTGAAATTGAAGTTCAATTTATGATATGTAACCATAGAAACCATAAAACTTACAACTTATGTTGGTGAGATTAAGTCTTTTCATGCGATGTTAACCGTGAAAGAGAGAATTTATTTAGTACTGTACTATGGTACTAGTGAATCATGTTTTCGTGTAGTTATACAAAAATTCTAGCAAAAATATCCGAACACAAGAATATCTCATGTGGAGCTCGCAAACTGATGACAAAAAAATTGGAAACGGGTTCTGTATTATCCATAAAGAGGCAGATAAAGAGACTAAATGAGGAAGACGCTGCCTTTCAGATAGCTTTTCAACAAATGACATTGTTTCTTCCCAGCATTGTCGTTATTGGAGCGATGTAAACGNTTATTGGAGCGACGTAAATCCAATTATCCTTAAATTTTATACGGTCAATGTACTTTCAGCAAGACAGTTGCCCAGCTTACCATTCACACATTGTGCCAAATGGTTAAATTTACAATTTAGTCAAAAATGGATTGAACGAAATGGTCCTATTTGATGACCAGCACGTAGTCCTGATCTTACAATTATGGTTTTTTATTTTTGGGGACGATTGAAACAAATTGTTTACAGTGAACCATTACAAGATGATGCAGAACTATTAAAACTAAGAATAATTAATGCGATAGAATCTCTACCACTGGCGGAAATTCGTATTTCTTATAAAGAATTTAGAAATCGTCTTCAAATATGTGCCGAATTGGGAGTGAATTTGTTTGAATGATGCAGAACTATTAAAACTAAGAATAATTAAAGCGATAGAATCTCTCCCACTGGCGGAAATTCGGAAATTGCTCTTTGCTTTAGTTTTTTCCTTAATTTTATTTGTATACAACTGGTTGTTTGTGGTACAGTGTTATTGGGTTCGACCTGTTTCTGTACCTACATGAGATAAATAAATAAATTTCTTTTGTCGGTGCACCCCACAGTAAGCTCCAAAGTGTAGGAAGAAAACATTCGACTTCGAAGACGTCGGCCGCCGCAAGTATCACGAACAATACTTAGGGCGGCCGACGTCTTCGAAGTCCCAAGTATCATGAACAATACTTAGAACGGCCGACATCTTCAAAGTCTGCAGAGATTATTTCTTCAATTAACTTCAAGCAGGTTAAACTTAGTTTCATGCTCCGTATGTCAAGTGATACGATTAACTAGTTTATGGAAGCAATAATATATAATAATATTGTTCGTGATATAAGAAATAATCTCGGCCGATTTCGAAGACGTCGGCCGCCCCAAGTATCACGAACAATACTTGGCATACGGAGTTTGAAACCAAGTTTAACCTGCTTGAAGTTTATAGAGGAAATAATCTCGGCCGACTTTGAAGACGTCGGCCGCCCCAAGTATCACGAACAATACTTACAAGGGAAGTATCAGAACTGTCCCTCACCGATTTTGTTGAAATTTGGTACAGCGATAGTATGGCCAAAAATAAGGTTTACATATTTTTTTATACGTGCTAATAAAGCCCCTGGGGCGAGTTATAAGGGTTGGAAATCGGGGCGAAATACATATATTCGCTTATAGGCTGAAAACGAAAATAGCTATCGAAATGTGGTAAATGTAAACTGATATTCATTTTCAAAGAGCTTTCCGTTGATATATCACACATATATCTAAGGGCTTCAGGGGGTAAACTACCCCTAGTTTTTTGGAATATTTTAAAAACTACCCTGTCGATTTTGGCGAGATTATGTGTCCTTATAGTACATTTAAAAATATTAATGACGTGTTTTTTCTTATTTGCCTCTGACCATCCCCTGCAAAGTTACGGGGTGTGATAGATAACCCCCTTCCTTAAGAATAATGTGATAAACTGTTACACTTTTGAACAATATTTTGAAGAAAACCATTAATTAGATGTAAATTAAGATTTACGCGGCAAAATAAACCCCATAGGACCCCATAGCCACCCCTTAATGGTGGCTGGGGTTAACTACCCTAACCACCCCAAAAATTATTCTTTTTTTCGAAAATTGTTTGTCGATTTTTTGCAATTTACTACGATGATTTTTTTATACGTTAGGTAGTACTATTGTAAGAACTTACAAGGGTTAGAAGTTTGGGGTAGAAAATATATTTTCGCTAATAACTTTCGTACTCCTACAGAAAAAGCTATTTTATCCTTATTCTATTTAAATAACACAAAAGATTGGATAATTATATAAATATTTATTAATAATGAGTTAAAAAGCAACTGAAAAAAAATGGTTAAGCATCAAAAATTGTATTCTACATTGTTAGAATCCTCTGGTACGTTTGGACCGAGGGTAATAAGTACAATGTTCAAAGCAGATAACATATTCGTTTTGGCATCAAAGTCTGGTAAACCGACTTCTGCTCATATGAAAAATTGGCTACAAAATGTCTATTTCCCAAACACCGGACCCAAATCATTACTATTACTGGATTCTTGGAGTGGCCACTGCCCTGAAATTATTAGTGAAGTAACTCCATCGGATGTTAAGTTTAAATTATAAATTAAGTCTATACCTGCAGGGACAACAGGTCAAATTCAACCCCTGGATGTATTTGGTTATAGAATATGAAAAAATTTCATTAGAAGATTTTCTGATCAAGTTATTCTCTACCAGTAGGTACGATGTCAATTTGCATCAGCGAGATAATATTTTAAAATTGCAATCCTTAACGCATAACCAGTTGTCTTCCCCACGACTTATTAATGTTTTTAAATACGTCTGGTTTGCATCTGGATATATAGAGGAGATACCAGAACAGTTTGAAAATCTTGTGGAGGCTTGCTTTTCCAATGAAAAACCTACGTGCGATATCTGTGGAGATATATCTGTTATAACTTGTGCATGGTGTAAACAATTGTTGTGTTTAAAACATTTTTTCCATGATTTTCATTATTGCCAATATATTGAATAAAAAAAGTAAAAAAAAGAAATTAAATTAATAATGTAAAATACAATTTATGATAGCAACCGTTCTTTTGTCAGTTACTTTTTAACTCATCATTACTAAATATTTATATAATTATCCTAACTTTTGTGTTATTTAAATAGAATAAGGATAAAAAATATTTTTCTGTAGGAGTATGAAAGTTATTAGTTATTAGCGAAAATATATTTTCTACCCCAAACTTCTAACCCTTGTAAGTTCTTACAATAGTACTACTACCTAACGTATAAAAAAATCAATTTTCGCAAAAAAAATTAATTTTTGGAGTGGTTAGGGTAGTTAATCCCAGCCAGCCCTTAATGTCGTATAGGGTTTATTTTACTGCGTAAATCTTAATTTACAACTAATTTATGGTTTTCTTTAAAATATTGTTCAAAAGTGTAACAGTTTATCACATTATTCTTAAGGAAAGTGGTTATCTATCATACCACGTAATTTTGCAGGGGATGGTCAGAGGCAAATAAGAAAAAATACGTCATTAAGATTTTTAAACGTACTATAAGGACACATAATATCGCCAAAATCGACAGGGTAGTTTTTAAAATATTCCAAAAAACTAGGGGTAGTTTACCCCCTGAAGCCTTCAGATATATATGTGATATATCAATGGAAAGCTCTTTGAAAATGAATACCAGTTTACATTTACCACATTTCGATAGCTATTTTCGTTTTCAGCCTATGAGCGAATATATATATTTTGCCCAGATTTCTAACCCTTATAACTCGCCCCAGGGGCTTTATTAGCACGTATAAAAAAATACGTAAACCTTGTTTTTGGCCATACTATCGCTGTACCAAATTTCAACAAAATCGGTGAGGGACAGTTCTGATACTTCCCTTGTTAGAGTGGCCGACGTGTTCGAAGTCGGCCGAGATTATTGCTTCCATACTACTATTACTAACATATAATAATAACATGGAAAACTAAAAGTGAAAGAGAGCAATGTTAATAAAGCCGGATTTATATTTGTCTGACGTGTCATGTGGTGACACGTCAGAACGGTATCGGTTGAATACATTTACTATGGTGAGATTCATATTTGTGTGTCGCAATGTGTTGTGGTGCCTTGTGTTGTGTCGCATCAGCAGCGATCCCGATGTCCGTCAGAGCAGTGGAGTGGGAAGTGACGCATAACGACTGATCAGACAAGTGTACACCTGTCTTATGACTCGTCAGATTTGCGTTTCTTCTTTCTTTCAATATTAAATTTAATTACATTTAACATTATCAACATCGCTCTCAAGCTCTTTAACCAAGCCGTGAAATTCTCCTTTAGCGTCTTTCTTTCTGTTCACTGGATGAACCCAACATCTTCTCGCTTTTTCTTTTTTTAGAAGAGTTGTCAGTACCATAAAATGAATATCTTCTTTATAATTTGAATCAGAAGATTCATGGGAAAACATTATAGACCCACGTATGAACTCTTTGAGTGCTACGATTGTATTGATTCAAAATATCGCCAGAGTGCGTCAGAACACAACATATAAATGTGAACACTAACCATTACGTCAGAGCGCATCACGACACAAAACGTCAGACAAATATAAATCCGGCTTAAGAATAAAATTTGCTACAACTTTTCTTCTAAAAGTTTTTTTGGTAGTCTGCTCCGAATTCCAAGTTTTAGTTTTTTCTTTATTATTACCTTTGATCATTTTAAACATTGCCGGATATTTCTTAAGCATTAAATGTGTCGCATCTCCACCGTCATCTAAAATCATATTGGGCTGCCAATTTTCAGCGTTTACACATTTATCGATACACCACCAAAAATCTTCTTCCGTTTCGGATCTCCACGCAAATATTGAAAATCCAGCTTCTGCCAAAGCAGCGGCAACTTCATTCTAATCAAATAAAACTGTGGTTACATTTAATTACATAAACATATAACGTACCAATGTAGAATAAATATTACAAGCCGCCCAACGAACGCTTGCTCCCAAAGCGCTTAAAGTTTCAATTAAAACTGCTGTTTGGGCGTTGATGTGAGTACAACCAATAATTCTGGCGTTTTTTAAAGGTTTGTCGTCCCCAGCGCGTTTCCGTAAAGCCATAATTCCGGGCATTTCTAAAATAAATTTTATAAAAATTTTTATTGTATTAAATAATTAATAATCTTTACCTTGTTCAGCTATATCAATTTCTCTACGTCCAAAAGCATGTTGAGCTATGTTACGAACACAAAAATCTGAAAATCCCTTCGAATTCTTCTGCACTTTTTCTCTCGGAGATAAACCATCCTCATCATCGCTACTTGTACCGGAACAAGAAGCTAAATAATTACAAAAAAAGTTTTAATAAAACATTAAGCGATGGTTTGAGTGTTTAAAAGAAACTTTAAGTTACTTGTACTGTAAGAATCTGTAGAAGAAGCTGAAAGCGACCTGCTTCGATACCTGCTCGATTTTTTTAGTGCGCTTGAACTCTTGGCGTCCTAAAAAAAGAAAAAAATCATCATAAAAGTATCAATAAAATTAAATCGACTTCATAACTTAAAAAAAAATAATAATTCAAATAAAAACTTTACGAAGTTATAAAAAACAACATAAAAATAAGCGATCAATCTATAAACGGTATAAAAACCTTTTTTCTTTCGGTTTTTATGGGTGATTATTTTAAATCTTGTGTGAAATAGACGTTAATCCTATTTTATTTCATTCGATATTTTGAATTATTTCGTTTGAGAATTATAAAAGCACTTTAAAACTCGTTGGGATTAATTATAATTTATGTGTTTCGTTGATAAAAAAGATTATATCATACTTATCTTAGATAATAAGTGAACAATTAAAACTGAAATAGAATGAAATAGGATGAACGTCTGCCATGAACCGGTTTTAGTTAAAAATTGATTAGTTTTAATTAAGCAGCTAAAACATAAAAAAATAAGAAATCTTTTTGTAAGCCCTTTAATGTGCATAAAACAACAAAAAAAATAGATCCAATAATTCGTGTAGATATACAAAAAAACATACACTCCTACTAAGAAAAATTACAAAAGTAAGCGTTAATAAATAAATGTTTATACTCCAAAAAGTAGTTTAAATGTATTGAGTGAAATAAAAAATGTTGTGTAAATTCTTTTTCTTCTAAATAAAGACCGCAGTGGTAAAGCATACATATTGCACATGTATCTTACCAACTTGGATCTTTGTCCAACGAAAGCATTTGTCTCTTCCAGACCCTAAAATAAATATTTTCAGATTCAATTCAAACTTACAAATCCCTAAATCACTGAGTTAATTAAAACATAAAAATCAACAATTCTTAGAAAAAAACTTATATAACACAGCACGAACAACAACAATAAAACGACAAAATTGTTACTGGAAAATTGCTTCAGTAAGTTAAAAAATAACTTGCGTTTATAAACATACTTTTATATACACATGATTGATCAATTTTATTTTGGCACAACCATATGTTTTTCTTGAGTGTAGCAAAACAACCTTCATACAGAAACGCTAATTATATTTATTTTTATACAGGTGGTCCAGATAATTCACTACGTTTATTCTAAAATCATCCGGTAGAGGCGTTATTCGCTAAATCAAGTTTTAAAAAATCATATCTCAAAAAATAATTGAGATATTGATTTGATTTAAAAACCATTTTAAAGCAAAATTTAATTAATATTTAATGTACGAAAAATAGTTTTTTATTTCTATTAATTTTGACGTAGTGAATTTTTTAATTTACCTCTACACCCACTTTGATATGTTATTATTAATACCAAATTTAAAAAAATCATATCTTCTAAAATAAGTGAGATATCAATATGATTTCAATAAATCCCGGTGATATAATTTTTTAATTCGGCTCTATCATCAAATTGATGAAAATGCAATTTAAAATGTAGTATCTCAAGAACGAATTGAGATATCATCATAATATAAAAATCGTTTTGAAACAAAATTTAATTAACATTTGATGTACAAAAAATAGTTTTTTATGTCTATTAATTTTGACGTAGTGAATTTTTTAATTTACCTCTACACCCACTTTGATATGTTATTATTAATACCAAATTTAAAAAAATCATATCTTCTAAAATAAGTGAGATATCAATATGATTTAGAAAGCAATTTGTAGCAAATTTAATCTAGTTTTCATCCCCAAAAATAATTTCTTTCGATCTATAAATCCCGATGCTATAATTTTTTTAGTTCAACTTTATCACCAAATTAATGAAAGTGCAATTTAAAATATCCTATCTCAAATCTCAAGAACGAATTGAGATATCAACGTGAAATAGAAAACATTATAAAGTAAATTTAAGTAATGTATAAAAAATCGTTTCTTTATTTCTATTAATTATGTCGTAATTAACTTTTTAATTCGTCTCTACACCCACTTTGATATGTCAAAATTATTAATATCAAATTATAAGAAATTATATATCTTAAAATAATTGAGATATCAACATGATTTTAAAACTAATTTGTAGCAAATTTAATCTAATTTTAATCCCCCAAAAATAATTTCTTTCGTTCCATAAATCCCGGTGATACAATTTTTTTAATTCAAATTTCACCAAATTGATGTAAGTGCAATTTAAAATGTAGTATCTCAAAAACGAATTGAGATATCATCATGAAATAAAAACCGTTTTGAAGCAAATTAATTAATATTTGATTTTTATTAATTATGTCGTAATCAATTTTTGAATTCATCTCTACACCCACTTTGATATATTAAAATTATTACTACCAAATTATAAGAAATCATATCTCCTAAAATAAATGAGATATCAATATGATTTAAAATATATTATCTCAAGAACGAATTGAGATATCATCATGAAATAAAAAACGTTTTGAAGCAAATTGAATTAATATTTATTGTATAAAAAATCGTTTCTTTGTTGTTATAATTTTCGTTGTGAAGATTTTTTAATTCATGTCTTCATCAACATTTTCTTAAAGAGTCTCGATTTTAGCGCCTCGGCCGCAGCGAATATAATAGTATTACCATCTCCGGGTAATAAAATAATAAAATGTTTAATGAAACGAAATAATATAATAAAAAATAAGCTTGTTATGAACAAGACAGGAAATTTTGAAATTTTTTAATTGTATTTGATAAGAATATATTTATCAACATTTATGGATTATTCATATATTATTCACGTATGAATAAGTAAATATGAATATAATTTAGATAACATAGTTTTAAACCGACAAATATGCAATAAATTCATATTAAATTTATTTAATTGTCGGTTGGCTATTGTGATTATGTATAACTTGAAAATAAATTTTTGATGGCGACTTTCGATAAAAAAACACTAACTAACTTTAAACCGTTATTACAAAAGAATCAATAAATATAAATTAACATGCAACATCACGTAAGAAAGTGAAAAATAGCACATTTTAAATTATTATTTCTACTTGTATGGATTAAATGTTACAAATTCTTTAAAAAGCGGTGTTTTTCTCAATTTCTATGAAATATAACATTTTTAGTTGAAGATCTATGAGACACCTGTATATCTAAATATATACATATATAATGCGTAAATTAATATTAAATTTTTTACCATATTTATCTCATTTAAGTTAAGATATATACTTTTTAAAAGGTAATTATTTTCCTAAAAAGTAATAAAAAATATATATATAGGTGACCAGAAACGAACCTTAGCAGCGGAAGCGGGGTCGGTGACGGGACTGTCAGAGACGGCATTCAGATTTGTTTTTGGGGCCAAAATCGTGTGGATATCCGTCGTTTCGGACATTATTCGCCTTTTACCCAAAAAAATTAAAAGATCATCAAGCGCACTAAAAACGGCCGCACTTCACTCCGCTGACATCCGCTCAGGCGACTGAATGTAGCTATTTATTCGACTCTATCTATAATAAGCAACTATATTCGCATCGAAATCGAAACGATTACAACGCCACCATTTTTTTTCTTTAAACCATTCAAGAAGGATTCAGCCGAATTTTACACGAAATCTACATTATCGACTTTTACAAAGTAACATTTTTATAGCCACTTTTTTAAATTTAAAAATAAATTAATAAAAATCATCCTTTTAATATCAGCCGTATCAGGTTTTTTTCCCTTAAATCAGAGTACGATAATGTCCCAATTCCCGTATTGGCAGAAATACTGTCTCAGCTTGGAGTACCTAATCCAATCATAAAGGTAATATTCACTTGACGCTGTGATATTCAAGGCGGGCTGATCATAGATAAATGTGTGGATTCGCTCAATGAGGCTCAGAAATCTTAAGTGTATCTGTTTCAAAGCCAAATCTTGCCATCACCTAGCCATGGTCTTCACTCGTAAAAGAAATATCGCACACCCAATCATTCAGATTTCTTCTTAGGGAATCGATTAAACACAGGATTAGGATGGAAGGAACACGTTCGTGTCTGGGCCGCTGGTGCTGCAAAAATAACGGATATTTTGAAGCCGGTGGCGTCATCTAGATGGGGAGGAGAACCCTTAACTTTGAGAATATTATACAGAACGCTGATACGGTCCAGACTGGAATTCCGTCTCTTCCATTCTTCAGACTGGATCTGCATAATAATAATAAAAAATCTGCATAACCCACTGATAATGATGCTGAAGAGGTCCTCTCATAATTAAGAGTTATTGGGAGAAGACGTTAACCTCAATCAGAGCATGAGACATATCACTTTTACATTACCATATAACCCGATTTATCCCCCATTTAAGATATTCTCTAACATTTCCATTTAGAGGAATATAGCGAAGAGCACCTCATTTGTTGGAACTAATGATATGTTTATGGATTATGTATTCTCTTCAACCCACAATATAGAAATATATTGAGAAATTATAAACCCAGTAAAATGGAACACTATTTCCTTATCTCCATTATGGAAGAATTTAACTTTTTGGTCATCAATGGACAAGGAATGGTCTTATGCTGAGTTCCATCCCACTGCAGAATTTGTGGAAAAAAAGATGCGGATTAAAGCACCTATTGACGTTATTGACACATACGCCGGTCACAGAGTGGAACGAAGACTGAAAACTATCGAGCTCAAGCTCCCTGTTCAAACAGGGAGAGGTGGTATGGTATGATTTGAAGGATTCCCATATATGCCAAAATACTTTTACACCATAATTAATCTTCAAGATAAGGCAAAGAGATTCTCCTAACTGAGACTTGGAGATCGGAGATGTTATTTTTTATTTTCTCGAATGCCATTTGTTTGATCGTTGAGACTTAATGGAAAAGATGAACAATGCGGCTTAGCTGACGCAGTAGATGTGAGGTATGTGAGGTAAGTTGATATGATGACTTTGACTACAAGATTTACTTAGATTAAAAACTAAAGTTAGTGTTTTTTATGTTCCAGAAGTATTACCTTTCGCTCCCGTCTGGGGCGTTCTGGTATCCTTTGTAAATAGAGTATTAGCCCCCAGACTCGAAAAGAGTTTATTATGTGTTAAGTTTATGAATTGTTGCAGATGATTTTTGGACAAATATGTCCAGACGTCTTTCTCCATCAGTGTTAGTACTTACGGTATAGTTGATATTATTAAAAAAAATTGTACAACTTCGAACTTGTTTCTGAAGAAGGTTGCATCCGAAACGTCAAACATTTTTTCAAAAAACGCACGGCTTAACCCGAAAAATTCTAGTTCTAGGTCTAGTGTTAGTTCTTGTGATAGTGCTAGTGTTAGTTCTAGTTTTAGGTTAATTAATATCGGCCGTGAAAGCCTTCGTCCTTATAAAAATTGTACAATTTTGACATTTTGTGATTTATGCTATATCACTACACATTGGTGATAGATAAATATAAAATAATTATGGATTATGAATTCTTGATGCATTAGGAATATTTTTATCCATTACGTCATTCTCTATCGATGTTAGTACTTACATTACATTACATAATTGCATATCGGGTAAGCGGACCAACCAACCTTGCACCGCGACCCTAAGGGTTTATTGTAATTCTTAACGAAAGTTAATACCTTGTTTGGTGAAAAGTCATTCAGGTCCTTTGGGGAGATAAACTGTGACCAAAAATTGAGATTGTGATACGATTAAAAGCAGGGCAGTGGCATGAAACATGCTCAACCGTCTCCTCGTCCTCCGCACATAGTCGGCATTCAACATCGTCGGCCAACAAGTTGAGGTGTAATTTTCGTCGGCAGTGCCGAGTAGTTTGACAGTGGCGATGTTAATAAACACGTTAGCATGTCTCCACCATGCTCCATGGACCAGGAGAACTGGTCCACAGTAGACGAAGCCTTTCTTCAGCCCACAGTCTAATCCTATGTTTGGCCATTGCAAATGATACACCAACTACTGGCCCCATAAACGCATTAACGCTTCTCTCTCGTGCTGGCTCATCTGTCGCTTCATTGCCAGCAACCCCCGAGTGACCTGGGACCCAGATCAGAGAAACTCTGTTATCACAACTCAGTGTGTTTAATGTTCTTTTATGGTCATTAACCAAAGCCGACACCGTTTTCACGGCCTGTAGCGCCTGGAGAGCGGCTTGACTATCTGAGAAAAATCGTATTGTCATGTTCTTCACCCTTCTCTCAAGAAGTTTTTTAGCACCCATGTCAATAGCAAATACTTCCGCCTGGAACACAGTACAGTATGTACCCAGGCTGTAAGCTTGCTTAATCCGAGGTGTCATTGTTAGCAAAATATTAGTGCTTATAATGTCTTCCACAGCCCATTGGTAGGACATGTCGGAACAGTTTTTAGCATATTGCTTAAATCTGTAAATGGTAGTTCTAGCCACTTTCTCTATATGCAAATGCAAAAAAAGAGATAGTCCAAGCAGAACATCCATTGCTAGAGTTTTCGTTTTACTTATCGCACTAGAGATTGCCAATCCAGCTACTGGTTAAATTCGTGAAAGCTTACCGATAACTGAAATCTGTCGGACTTTGCTATAGCAGGCTGCTGCTCCATACGTGATCATAGATCCCCAATTTTTTACTACGACAAGTCGACAAGGATACTCTAGCTTTGTGAAAAACTCCCTGCAAATGTTCATTCCATGACAAGATTTTGTCTAGGATTGCTCCTAGATATTTGACTTCCTTTGAGAAAGGAATTTCTTCACCATGGATAGTTGGGCGGCTTAGTCCATCCACCTTTCGTCTCCTGGTGAAGGGCACAACGATTGTCTTTTGCAGGTTTATCGAGAGATTCTCTCCCTTACACCAAGCGCAAATGGTATCTAGGGTCCTGGAGGACTTTGGATATCCTCGACAAACAGGTGCCACCGTGGTGTGAACTAGAAACTATTCTACTATAAAGCATATTGCGGATCCAACCCGCTATAGTTGCTTCAACTCCCGTGTCAACAGCAGCTCTTTCAAGGGATTGTGGTATTGCGTCGTTGAACGCACATTCTATATCCAGAAACGCACAAACCAACATCTCTTTATCCTGGAGCGTTCTGGATACTCTACCAACAGTTTTAGTACTTAGGTTATAATTGATTTTATTAAGAAAAATTGGCCAATTTTGACATTTTGTGATTTATGCTATATCACCAGAAACTGAGGATAGATAAATATGAAATAAGTATGGACTATGATTATTCAAGAAGTAACCAGACATTGTTAATAAACTGCTGGCTCAGCGTTTTTAGCGCCATCTATTAGCACGTGTCCCCCAACAAATGAAATCATTATATATGTAGCGTTATTTTTAAATTATATCTACAATTACTTTCTAATGTACACCGAGAAAAATGCTGTGAAATTTAGTTATATAACTGCAAAACTATAATGAATCTATTGTACTTATAAGATTTTTTTTGTATAAAAATCATAGTAAAACATAAGTATAATAGATTTTAATTTTACAGTGATATAGCTGTAAATTTCACAGCATTTTTCTCAGTGTATATCAGTTTTATAAGTACAAATGTAATAAAAAAGTGAAAACTAACTTTTGTGTAAAAACATAAGTTAATATTTTCTTTTCAGTTCGACTTGTTTTAATGCATTTAATTGGAGGTTATACTGAAATTTCATCAAATGCATTAAGTAATGTTGAAGGTGTTGGAACATATTTGGGTATACTCATAAGTAAAGTTAAAAAATAATACACCATAGTAAGTAAAAAAATATTATTCAAATAAGTACAAATAAAAACATATAAAAAAAGCATGCATAGTATAAGGTAAAAAAAAAACAATGATGATATATAATAAAAATTTCATGTGCACCTTTATGATCTGTTTTTTTTTGTAAGCTATGATCTTGAATGTAAATATGGTCCTTACAACATTTGGTGCGGACATCTTTGCCATTAAGAATCCTATTTACACCATTTGTCCAGTTAAAAATACAAAAAATTAAAAATTCATTTAAAATGTTGTTGATAACATCTTCTGTGTGTTCACAAAGTGTGAGTTAAAGTTGAAAAAACTTTTTCAGAACATACTCTGGGTACTAAATGTAAAATAATATTGTAGGAAGTATATAATCCTTGAATAAAATTTTGTGTGCAATACATTAATTTGGACGCCAGGGGTGCCAAATCATGCCACTATTGAATTGTATTGGTAGATAAAATGTTCTTTTTGCAAATTTCGCAATATGCAATATAAGATATTGTTGGAAATGCAATCTTTATAGAATGAGGAGTACGTTCTTTTTCTGCTACATCAAATGAAAGGAATTGATTAATAATTTAGTATCATCTTTATTTTCACAATTGGCACCTAGCGAATGACTACTGACGAAATTATTAATCAGCAATATTTTGAAGTTTCCAATAAAATTTACTGCAGCCCGATTGACATTTCGTCCAGAATATTGCCTCATTTGTCCAAAGAAATTCTCTAATGAATCCTGATTCAATAGTCGTGTTTTTAAACTTGAAATACCATACTTTTCTTGATTTCATTCATTGATTTGAAAATGCCTTCCAAACTGTTTAATGTAACAATCCAGTTCTTGATAGATGGAGGTGTTGATTTGCTGCCTTTTTTGTCTACAAATTTCATTGTAGACCAGATCTTTTTAGCATTCTTTCAAAAATGGAAATTTATTATATATAGTGTCCATTGCAGGCTGATCCAGTTTTCTTCCATCTGCACCAGTTGTACCTGCGAAGTTCAAAATACAATTATCATTCTATAAATATTATCAAGAACGGTTGTTTGTGCTACCTGATCATACAAATACTGCCATAACTGAAAGTTTGGCTACCACACGACACGTTCATGACACGTATTTTTCCAGGAATTACATAGTCATCTTTTAATTTTGGCATGGCACGAATTTCCATTTGATGGATTGTCAATGTAGTCTGCATCCAATATGTGTTGCCATTTTGTAGTGAATTGTTATTAATTAAATTAAACGGTTATGAACACCTTTTAGCAAATGTGGTGGATCATAAATATGGAAATAAGTTTTGTCTTTTATTCTGTAACAATTATCACCACGCCATTCAGTTGCCTTAGAGCATTTGTCTTAGATTTTGCTATTAATTGATTGATAGCCATCAAGATCACAATCAGCACATTTGGCTAAAATACTTTTAATATGTCAGATCAAATCAAAAGTATTAAGTAAGCTTCCATTTGTTAAATCAAATTTGTTGATTCATTCCATTGTTCTTCAAACCCAATTATTTCTATAGTATATTTATTAAAAAATAAATGAGAATGAATCTTCATTTCATTCTATATCAAAGAGCAGCATTTGTCTTCAGGCTGTAGATCATTGGCCACACTCCTTGGTTGTACAGGAACTCTAGATAATAGAGTACTCATAGTTTTTGCACTAGGTGTGCAAAAAATTTTGACAGTAACTTACTCCAATTTCTTGCAATACACCTTTTTCCTCATCTCCAAAAGAAACTGTAAATGTTGAAGCAATTAAAATAACTAGTAACTAGTAGTAAAGTATTATGATTTAACACATTTTATGTTACAATAAAAATTTATCTTACATGGTAAAATTTCTTCATCAGGCATGGTTATTGATGGGATAGCATTCTTCAAGGTACCTGGTCCTAATGTAGTTGATTCAGCTTCTATAATTTTCATAATAGCATTAGTATAACTGGTATTAGAATAAAAATTAGTAACTTACCCATTAATATTTCATTTTGCGTTATTGAGGATGCACTTGCATCCATTGTGGAGCTTTGTTTGGATGGATTTAACAGTGTAGTATCTGTAATTATGAACAGTGTGTTAATTAAATATCCGACGTCATCATTGTAAGTATGCAACCAATATCACAGTATTGGTATTGCAATACGCTAATCGCATATTCTATTATACTGTGATATTGGTTGCATACTTGCAATGATGACGTCGGGTATGATAATTAATAACACAGTGTATGTTAAATTTATTTACTAAATCATAATACCTATTTTATAATTTATACATACTGTTTATAACCTGTAGACTTGATAAAAACCTCTGCCTTCGTAAAATGTACCACAAGCTTCAATCCACTTTTCAAATCTTGGCATATTTGATGTCTTGTCCTTAGCCGGCTACAGAACACGCACGTAACTTCATTTTTTATCAAAGTTCACAATAAATAAATTTAACTTTAGCATTCAACACAAACCAATATAAACAAAAACATGTGATAAACATAAAACATAACCTTATTAATAGTAAAATACATCGCCGGCAAAACAGGTCTTTAGAATGTAGCGACCATCAGAGCCACCGTGTGGTGCGTGCCTGAACTATGTGTGACGTCACCATAATATAAACAAATCCTATTTTAGTCGCCTTCGTATTCAAGTAAATTGTACACGAAATCTACATTATCGACATTTACAAACATTTTTATGGCCACTTTTTTAAATTTAAAAATAGGATTAACCTTTAATGTTTAAGAAGAATTAATTTATTTCATTTCGTTTAAATGAGATTAATAAATAAAAAAAGTAAGCGAAATATCGTTTATAACAAACGTGTTAAAACTTGTTGTGTTATTAAATCGTTTTAGCTTTCATTTTTGTGATGATAATAATAATAAACGTATAAATATAACAAATGTAATGTTGATAAATAAATAAATTCGAAATTTATTTATTTTTCTTTAGTTAAACAAAAACATCAACGGGCTATTTAAATTTTAAATAACGCTATCGTATACGCGTATACGTATCGCGTTAAATTTAAATGGACGTTGTTGTATTCGTTATCGATCGAGTCGAGTTCGTTTCCCTCCTTTTAATCCGCCATCTTTAAATTCTTGTTCAGTGTCGATGGTTTGTTTTGGTAACGTTCGTGTCCGGTTTTCGGTAGTTTAGCGACATGTCTCGCACCCCAAAACGTTCGAAACCGTCTGGGACGGATACCGAAATTAGCCCTGTGACGCCGACAAATCGAATTTTTAAGACACGATCGCCGGATTTCGATAAATCGCCGGCGAACGTTTCTTGTACCCTATCCCCGGGGGAGATTCGCCGTGGTCGACCCCGAGCGGAAGTTTTGAACACGTTGATTTTACAAGGATCTACTTCACCAAGTTCCATCAGATGCACTTTCTGTAATCGCGTTTTCCCAAGGGAAAAATCTCTTCAAGCTCATCTCAGAACTCACACTGGTAAGAAAAAAACATTTTTTAACCTTACTTTTATGAGATGTTCACAAAGGCTATCTAAGGTGCTTTGGGTTATACTTAAAGTCCTCTATTTAGCCTAACATTTTTATTTACTTGCTGTTTCATTACATTTTCAAATAAAAATATTTCTTTAATATATTAAGTTTTAGATAGAAAAGAATTAAGACTGAAGAAAGATGACAGTTGAGTCAAATCTTTGCCTATACATGGAGAGTAACAGGAGCAAACATGTTTATTGTAAATCTAAGTTCAAAGATTAAAGCACAATTATAGTCAGGCTAATTTAGACACCATGGCAAGCAAGCCAATTTGATTATCATTCATGATATGTCAAAGTGTTTTCATTATGATACTGAGATTAATAATAAATCCATTTGCCAAAATGAACATTACAATGCAATAATCTGGACTAATTAAATTTGAGGTTATCTGGATAAGTAAATAATTTGGATTACTGAAGCCAGACAACTTTTTTATTGAAAAGCAAAACGTAATGGGGTTAAACTGCCTTTGCCGAAGTGTACACATTCTCGAGACAACTATAAAAAGAGTTGATCACTAAACCTTTACCTATGTCCATTAGTCCACAAAACAAGTTTTTGCCTTCTCTGCCGACTCCCAAAGTTTCATTACAAATACAAGTCGATTAATTTCAAGCACATTGTTTATTACTGACACTCTCTTTTGACGTAAAACCACGTGCACTTTGCTTCATAGTAATGTCACTGTCACAAATTCTACACTTTATACCCTCATAAATTGTTGTAAAGACTGTATAAAAGTTTAAAATGCAATAGTGAAACAGCAATCACAGAATTTTCATTTTTTGCCAAGTTGGTACCTGACATACCTGCAAAATTTGATTCTGTTTCCAGCGTATTGTGATTACCGTAAAAACAACGTTTTCGTCGTCGATTATGGTTCATAACTTTCATACAACTTCGCAAAATTAAGTAACTAATCCATCTAATTCATCATATCAAGCATCTGTTAAATATTTACGAATTATTAATAAAAAATATATAAAAATCTTTCAGTTCTTTATCTAAGGAAAGCAGATTGCGCCTTAATTGACTCAGAGGAATCAGATCTTCAGCATCTTACGTGAGCCATAATTTTGTGCCAGCACTTCTCCAAGACCTTGATGGACACTTTTTCCCAAGCATTGCATAGTACAGGTAACGTCGTTTTGCGCCGGTTCGATTTACGCCGATTCACAATTACGACGGTTGCCGCCGGCGTGGGATTTTTACAGACTGGTATAAAAATTATTTTTGGCCTACTGTGCTTAAATTTTCTGACCGAAATACCTTCCAAAGAAAGCAATCCTTCTATTAGACAATGCCCCAGGACATCAGCAAAATCTTGACACATTAGACACGGAATTAGACGTCAAGGTAATTTACATGCCCCTTAACACAACCTCCGTTTTATAACACATAGATCAGGGGTAATTTCTCCCTTTAAAGCGTATTATTTGCACATAACATTAAAAGCAATGACTAAGGCGATAGATACTAATTCCAATGGGACCGTCACAGATTATTGGCGATCATACAGACATTTTAAAAGGAATAAATAATCTAAAGTCTGTTTGGGACGAAGTGACAAACAATTGTTTAAACGGCGTTTGACGTAAACTTTTGCCGGGATTTATACAAGGTGCAAGTGTAGAAGTGGTAAATAACATTAACATAAACGAGGACATCAGGCTTACACGCAAATGTGGATTCGAAGACGTAACAACTGAAGATGACCGAACTGTTAGACGTGCATGACCAACCACTCTCAAATCAAGAATTAGAAAAGTTGATCGAGGCATATGATCGCCCTCAATCAGAAAATCCCGAAGAAGAAGAGGAGGATGAGAAAGAAAATCCTAAAAACGGATGATCTATCTAGTATCCTTTCCTCTATAGAAAGATTAATGTTAAAAGAAGTGTCACAGCTGCCGTTCGACCTTATGCAAATGAAATTGGAATATATATATATAGAATATGTATTAAATAAACATGTTAGATTGTTCTTAGAATTTTGACATGGAACCTAACCTTATTATATTTTTGTTCATTTTACGCCGATTTTGTTTATGCCGGTGTCTCTCGGAACGGAACCCCGGCGTAAAACGACGTTTACCTGTACTAGTACATATACAGCGTCCTTCAAGTTAATGATTTTTAATAAGTTAACGGCTTCTTCGTTCGTTATCGGATAAAATATGGGCTAAAAGACTTTTCCGATAAAATAATTTTGTCAGTCTAATAGCTTTTTGGTCCATAGGCAAAAGTGCAGTATAATTGAGTGGAATAACGTTGTAAATTGACCTCCTCGTATTTTTTGCCTTTCCTATAACTAACAGCTTTAATAGGTCTTCTCCTTAAAACTAACCAACGTTTTTTCAGGCAGCTTTTCGTGCAGGTTCATCTGCTTTGTATACGATGTATATGATATTGCATTTAGATCAGATATTCACTGTATCAATGTCAGATATTGGGGACTATTAGATGTACCAAAACATAGAACAGAATCTTTCAAACACTCTTTCATGTACAATGTGGCATTAATTTGGAATAAATTGCCAACAGAATTGCGTCAATTAAGTAACCAAAATTTTAAAAATAAATTACATCGGTATTTGCTGACTCAGCAATGTGAACACCAAGAATCCCATTTCATATGATTCTCTAGTCTACCTCTGCGGGGGAGAATAAAATAAAATAGAAAGTCGCTTTGCTTTTTCTGAGTAAATTTACATATAATTTAATAACTTAATTTACTAATTTGATTTTTTTGCTGTCCTTTTATTTGTTAAATTTTGTCCCTTTTTGTATATATATATTTTTTTGTTGTTTTTGTATACAATTTCGTAGGAAATTGGAATCTGTCCATTTGTGTCCAGTTTCCATTTTTGGGTATTCGGCTTTTCGTCAAGTTTTTTTTGGATTTCAATATCATAAATCATCTTTGAAATAAATTCTTGGAAATTGTTGATATTCCTACTACATATTCATTTGCCAACACTTTTCTACTTCGAATTAGTCTTTCTAATATATCGGACTTTTCTTTTATTGTTAGTGTAATATATTTTGCATTTTTATACATATGTATTATATGACAACCAACAAACAACTAAGCAATTAATCTTTAAACTGATGCGTTGCAAGCAAATCAAAGGCACATACTGCTTATTTTGATCCCAGATATTATACTAGGCCAAATTTAGGAAGTTAGGGGAATTCTTTACTATGGATTTCAGTTTTCCTGTCTGTATAATATGTAGTTTGGATGAAGTACACGTGTAATAATGCAGATCCGGAATACCGATCATTATCAAATATGGATTATTAAGTATTTATACTTGTCCGGGGATTGTTGACGAAAAAGATGAGTGTGAATTACCACTGCGTAACGTGTTTCTATCCGTTCAATTTACCTGGTAGTTTTTGAGTGTTCCTTGTGCCTTCAAATTTGGATCTTCAGTGCGCGGTGCTTATTAATGTTTTGCGAGTGATCTTGAGGTGTTAATAGGCTTGTTCTCTGTTGATATTTATATCACTCGCCGAACTCTCGTGCGGACCGGTTGTTTTTTGCTGTTTCTCGACCCGTTTTAAGACGCGTTCAGAGTGCGATGTCCAGTCCCTGTCCAGTGTGCAATAAAAGTATTTCTTGAGATGTGGAAACTGGTTCCATGCTGGTTGCGTAAAGAACCTAATAAGACGTAATTGCAGAGATGGTGCTCAATTATTGTGGATGATGATGCTACTCCACCCTTGTATTCATCCGAGCCTACCGTGCCCGAGTTGCTTCGTATCTTAAAATCAATTCAGTTGGATATTAAAAATATGGACGCTATTAATATATATTAAAATATGGATGAAATGTTGAAGTCTTTGGCCTTCTATGGCGATAAAATTCCTAATTTTGAAGGTATTATCAAAAGCAGCATGATAGGATTAAGCAGGTCGAGTCGGTTGTCGCGGAGAACGCCAGGCTTAGGAGCGTCGTCTCGGGCATTCCCTAGAAAAGAGGCGAGGATCTTGGGCTCGTTGTATCCCGTATCGGTGAGATTATAAGCTTCTGGAGAGAATGGAGGTATCGGTGGTGGTAAGATTAAGAACGTGGTAGTTTTTATCCCGCAATATCCGTGATTTCTGTCTGTTGCAAAGGCTTTCCGAAAGAACAACAATACGGGGCCGACGGGCATCTGCATCTCGAATCTGATTGACAAGCTGTTCGTAAGTGAGCATCTCACGCCTTGCAATTCAGAACTTTTTAGAAAAACTAAACAAATGAGGACAGATCCGGTTTGATTGTCGTCAGAACTGATGCCGATCTAAGAAAACTTTAGGTTTATGGACTCTTGTCATAACGTTCGAATCAGTTTTCTTGGTCGCTGCGATGTCTTTCACCATCTATTACCAGAACGTGCGCGGATTGCGCGCAAAAATTGAAACTAGTTACACAAACTCACTGAACTTTACTCACGACTTTATATGTACAACATTTATCGTCGTGACAGATACTCGACGGATCCGAAAAATCCGATGGTGGTGTTCTTATTGCGGCACGTAGATGGATCTCTATTACCCCACTGCCGGTGCTTGTGTTAGGAGATGAGGATTTGTGCTTTTCTCCTTGCGTTCTCTTGCTAATTCACTCCGTAGTTTCGTGTGATGAACCGCTGGTCGGCTTGGACACGCATTATCCTGATTTAGAATTTGTCTTTTACTTTACCCAGAGTAAAGTACGTACCTACGCAGATGCCTCCGAACTAATTGGAGGTTTAATCGCCCGGATTATGACGGTCTTAGAGGTGCATTGGCGAGCGTTAATTGGTGTGATTTGTTTAGTTCCCTAAACGTTGATCAATGTGTTAATGTTTTTTATTCTATTTTGAGCGGGTGCATGGGCGAATTTATTCCGTGATACTCTTGCGGGATGTTCGCCTTAATACGGTACATTAATTTCCTCATACCACTCGAGTTATGAACTCAGTTTGTATTTTAATTCTTCTTTTTATTATTGCTGATTATTCCTTTTTTTTGTTGCTCTAATTGTATTTTAGTGGATACTTAATTGGAGTACTTTAATTTACTTAATATTTTTCCCTGTATGTATGCCGAATATAAATAAAAAGTCCAGTTTAATGAAGATTGGTATTATCAAGGTCGTTCTGCTAGTTCTTGAGATATAAACTTTTTAACTCAATCAAAATATTTTCAAGAATAATTTTCTTCCACAAATTTTTTTAAAGTGTTTTACCATATTCTCTTTTTTTTAAATACCAATTGAGGTTGTATCAAACATTGCAATTTGCATTAAAAAATTACAACAAATCCTCTTTAATAAATAATAATAATTTTTATTTGATGTTTTTTCTAATAATTTTTTATATTTCAGGTGAAAAACCATACGCATGTGATTTTCCACGATGTGCTAAACGTTTCGCGCAATCCGGACAATTGAAAACCCATAAAAGACTTCATACTGGTGAAAAGCCCTTTGTGTGTTCCGCCCCAAACTGCGATAAACGTTACACGCATGCGAATCGACATTGTCCGGAACATCCCAATTTCCAATTGAAGCGATATACATCGCCGGCAGCTATGAATATGGAAAAATTGACTGATGAGGAACACTCAATTGCCGTCCAAGAATGGTTTGAAAGCGTTAAGCGGAAAGAGAAAAGAAATTCGATACAAACGACACCGAAAAAAGCATCGCGAAGTTTAAATAATGGTTGGCGTAACGAAAACGTGAATTATTTACAAAATCGTAATTCCGAAAATGCTAATATGGCTGCTCAAGCTTTAATTGAACTTAGGAAAAGTCATGTTGCTATTGAACCTAGTTTTCCTGATTTAAAAATCAAACAAGTTTTTCTTCCACACGATGATTTTTTATTGGATAACGACCAATATAATTGTCAAGATTTAGCTTCAACATCCTCCGGTTATTCTGATACTTCATCTAAAGATACGGGAGACTCAACATCACCGCGTAGTGCGGAAGTTAGTGAGATTCCTAAAAAACGATGGAGACAACAGTGGGATTTAACGCAAGAGGATTTAGCGCAACCTTTGAATTGGTCAGAAGAGGGTACCACGAGTGTTGTGGAAGTCGAAAATCAAAAACGTCCAACAGTTTTGGTTCGAAATGACAAATTTGAAACGAACGGTGGTGGTAAAAAGCAGGTTTCTAGGTGTGATATGCAAGTCGCTATGGCTTTGGTCGAATTAAGTAACGTCGAAACGAATAATTATAATTATTAAAAAATAATAAATTTTTTTTTGATTTTAAAAACCAGAAAAAAATTTATTGTTACTTTGCAGAGTTAATAAGATGTAGTGAAATGAAGACTCTGTTATAATAATATAATTATTCTTATTTTAATTTATTTCTTTTTTCTAATAATTTTTTTTTGTGATAACTATTATTATGACCAAACTTTTATAACTTTTGAGTTTGTTAGTATTGTTTATGGTAGTTATTAACTGATTTGAAAATTTTAATGGTGTTTTTATTTTTTACGTGCGTTTTTTTTGTAATAATAATATAAAAGAACTAATAACCACCTTTTACGCTTCAACTTAAATGTGATTTAATATTTTTCGTTTTCCTTGCCTTGGTTATTGGTTCAAGTAAAAATTTCGTTTTTATAGAAAAGAATAAAATGAACCTGAGTGATATTCAAACTGTACCAATAATTTATTCCTATAGACGCTCTGATTTTCGACTGCTAAAAAGATAAGATCAGATCAACGAAATGATTTTTTTTGTAACAGATTTTGATCATCCTCACTTATAAAATTAAATTTTAAGCAATATTAGATTTTAGAACCATCTTTTGTACATAGAAAAACTTAAAAACTACTTGTTTACTGTGTAAACAAATTATTAAATTAATATTAAGGAAACTTTCCCTCCCTCACCCGAATATTGTAGTATATTTATATAATTATTTATAAAACAATACATCTACCCAAACATTCCTTAAGCTAAACCGTTTCTTTTTGTTTCATTTACTGCCGATTTTGTTCTAGTTTGCACTGCCTCTTTGTAACAATGTATTGTTTTCTTTTTCCTTGCTGGTGTTTTGTGTCAGTTTTTTTTAACGGTTGATACCAATTATGAAATATGATTTCATAAGTTTTTTTTTGGTACAATCACGTTTTTGTCAAAAAATAAAATTTTAAAATATATATTTATGTGTATTATTTTTAACTTTTTCGGGACTGAGCCGGATTTGTTTGCCATATTGGCCATATAGCCAAAAAGTACCACAAGGATTGTCTTTGATCGCCTAAGAAAACTGAAAATGATAGGCGCGGGATGGACAAGTTTGGAGGGAACTGTTAATGCATGTCAAGGTTCACAATAAGCTTTAGAGCCAAGCATGATGATTATAGCTTGTTTTGATAAATTGATTATAGATTGTTGCTATATTTTTCAAATGCAAATACCCATTTCTACCATTAATTCAAATTCTTTTTTTACGATTAAAAGTTTTTTTGCATCCAGACGACGTGGTCTACTAAAAGGAAGATGCGAATTGGTGATAATTTTATGGATAGTTGAGTGTAAGACTGGTTTAACTAACTTTGTGAATTTAGTTTCAATAGAGATCTGAGAATTTATTGAATTAATTTTGGAAGGGTTAAAATTAAAAACCGAACAAATTGAAGCGATAAGCATTAAAGGACCAATAATTATACGATTCTTGAAATCAGCACCCAATATTGGTTTCATCACATCTGCTAAAGTGAAAACGAATGGAAACGTACGTCTTAACGTACGTAAAGATACAGAAAGTAATTTCTTTCCAAGCGTTTTAATTTTGCTACCATTAGCAGCAGACAATACCAAAGCTGATATTTGTTGGGAGAAGGAAATAAAGAAACAGGAAGTAACGAAATGTCTGCTCCGGAGTCAATAAGAAAGTTAAGGTTATTAAGATCGTCGTAAATAAATAACCGTGAACTTAAAGATTCACCTCCAGGATATATTTAAACCCTTATTTTTAATCTCTATGTGGTCACTCAACGTGGTCTGGCATTTCTGGTGCTAGATCACTTCCCAACATAACGTAATCAAAGAAGGTGAGAAAATGTAAATAAAAAAAAAATTTGATAATGATTTAAAATGTATTTTAAGTTAAATAAAAAATGTTAAAGGATGAAGTGTGACGTCGGTCTTGATGGTTTCCTGATATTTATCTTGAATCTTTTCAAATAGAATTCTCTAATCCTTTTTATTACTTTTCTTCAAGAAAATATTCATTCCTGATGACGTTGTCATTCTTGTTAATGATGTATTTTTCACTGATTTTTCTATCGGTCCAACATCAGCTTCTCCCTCAATTTTTGAAGAATACTTAATATTTGGTTGTTCTTTACCTTGTCTTGAATCTTCTTGTAACTTCTTTAACTTTTCTAATAATTGAGTGGAAGTATAAGGATTCAAGGTACAAGGGAATATAAAGATTCGTATTCCAAATTATTATATTATATATAATTATTTATATTAGGTACAATTTTATATACGTCTTACACGTAGTTACAATCAGACAATACTGGTGAAAAACTAAAAATAACAACGTTCATTTTTTTAATAAATTTCCAACGGAAACAAAGAAAATAAAAACATGGCTACTAAAAATTTTGTAATTTTTGGAAGGTGAATTGCGAATGTTTGTAGCGACGCTACAATGATGTAGATAAGACTTGTAGTATCTCCTTGCGATAAATTGATCTTACATCGCAATCATAAGGTTTTGGTTCGTACGTGCCTTCGATATTGCGCGTAGATACCGCTTTCGTCTATAAGGCAGTTTTTATTTTGCGTGAATACACGGTCTTGGTCCTTAAAGGGTTAAATCCTTATCTGAAAAAATTAAATATTTAGTTCTAAAATTAACATTAATATATAAAAATTCGTGGAGACTCGAATTCTTGGAATATTTTTTTTCAAATTATCAGATATAAGGGAAAGTGTCTACTTTTTAATGAAATCGTCCGTTTTTAAATATCTAGTTTAGTTTTTCAGATATAAATTTTTAAAGTTTGTTGAAATTTTCATCTTTTGCTAAAATTAACATTAATGCATAAAAATTCGTGGAAACCCGAATTCTATCAAATTATCACATAATATAAAGGAAAGTGGCTACTTTTTAATGAAATCATCCGGTTTAAAACATCTACTTTACTTCTTGAGATATAAATTTTTTAAGTTTTTCGAAATTTTCATTTTTTGCTAAAATTAACATTATAATACCAACATTTCGTGTAGACCCGAATTCTTGGAATTTTTTTTCAAATTATCACATATTATAAAGGAAAGTGTCTACTTTTTAATGAAACACTTCGTTTTTAAATATCTAGTTTATTCTTGAGATATAAATTTTTAAAGTTTTTCGAAATTTTCATCTTTTACTAAAGTTAATATTAACATACAAAAATTCGTGGAGACGCGAATTGTTGAAGAATTTTTATCAAATTATCACATATTATAAAGGAAAGTGTCCGATTTTTAATGAAATCATCCGTTTTAAAATATCTAGTTTAGTTTATGATATAAATTTTAAAGTTTTTCGATATTTTCATTTTTGCTGAAATTAACATTCTTCTTCTTCCTTTGGCTCTATAACCTTTGGTGGGTTTTGGCCAAGGTCCGTTGACGTCATTGGAGGAAAAATATAACATAATATAAATCTAATATAAATATAATAATAATATTTATATTTAAAAATTAAAGAGGTGTTATTAAACTCAAGAATTAAAGAGTTTGTGTTTGTTAGTTGGTTTACGTATATAAATGGAAACATAGAAATGACAATTCTGCCAATGACATCACACATTCAATCGCACGTCTTTGCGGAGGGGATACGTTTATAATAACAGCGTTCATAGGAAGTTGGATAACCTTATACAGTATGTTTACTCAACGGACCTTGGGTTTTGACATCCTCAACAATTCTACGCCATTCCCGTCTACTCCTAGCCACTCTCTCACTCCCATCGCCCTCAAATCATCCTTCATGTTGTCTAACCATCTTTTACAAGATCTTCCTCTAGGTCTTTTCTCTGTTGGTCTCTATTCTGCTTATATTCGCAACGTCATTAAACATATTTTTAAAAAACATACTTTGTTTGTTATTTAAGCTGTTATCTTCTTGATCTTGATTACTTAATTCTTCTTTTCTTTGTTACCTTGTTATTTACTCAATAAGCTTTCCTTGTAGCATTATAGCACTGTAGGTGCTCCTGAAGATGATTGAATGTAACGATCGAAACCGGTAGAGCTGAAAATTAAAAAAACTATCCATTTATAAATACACATAGTTTTATTTCAATTATATTAAAATTGAGATGGAAAGAAATAACCAAATAAATATTAATTTTTTTTTTAGTCATTATTTGTCATGAGGAATAAATGCCCAAGTTTATGCGTATACAGGGTGTATCTAAATTGATGCGAAAGATTTTAAGGGGTGATTTTTGAACGAAAATTAAGGGAGATCTTTCATATAACTTTTTGGTCAAAACAACTCCTCCAAGTTACAGCCCTCTAAAATTAGGGGAAAAAAGTAGTATGTATAGTATGTGCACGATATGTCGTGCAGGGTAAAGTGACCAAAATTATAAAGGCTTTTCTCGTTTCAGCGAAAAAATGTCGGCATCTTTTATGACATCCACAACACTTAATTCTTTTGAGTCAGGTTTATCTTGCCATAGTTTTTTCCATAATTCGATTTCGTTGTTGATATTTGATAAATTGTAAAATTGGGAAAAGACTTCACCAGCTTCTACGAGGTCTTCAAGGGACATGTCTAACATTTGAGCTGGGTGTAATTTAGATAAGGAAATTGACGGGGTGTTTTCTTCAGAAAACCGAACTTCAAAAGAATTAATAATCGAGTCTAGGTATGGTATTATTAAAGACCTCCGCCAGAATTCTGAGGGGCTTGCTGCTGGATGGTTGTTCTGATGTTGTTGTCTCTCAACAATACACGGCACGGACTACATGTCTTCTCCCAGTCCACGTTTTTCTGCAACGATAGTAGTCTCTAATAATTCCATTTGTGACGTTTTCTGGACCGTTACGGTGGTTTTCTATAAATTCCAAAAGGCGGCTAATGTGCTGGGATGCCTTAACTGCATTCAAAGCTACGGATTGGAGTACGTTTACTACAGGTTCCATCATAGCCGAGTATTTGGCTATCAAAATAAAGCTGAGAATAAACGAAACTCTAGAAGCTGCTGCACTTATCAGCTCCATAAGTATTTTTTCTAGTCGCATTATTTATTCTTATTTTCTTCCCGTGACGAGGTTTCAAAGGCCTCCATTATAATAGGAAAATTCTCATTAAAAACACTAATATTTTTGTGTTTCTCGCTCCACCTTGTTTCGCAAAGCTTGGAAATATTTGGTATCAATTTGCGTCTCAAAACTGATTCTTGAAAAAATTATAATAATATCTTTGATGGTACCTTCCTTTGATGAAGGAACAAAGCTTTTTTTATATTTTCTGCGTAGGATTGCTTGCACACCACCTTCTAAACCGATACATTTGTCCGGATCAAGATCTTTTTCTACCAAAAACTCATCTATTGCTTTTGCAATACATTTCGCATCCAAAGCATCAAGCTTGACGAGTCCGAGGAATACTTCTTGAACTTCCTTGGTTTCCTGATCAAAATATGAGATCTCAGTCGATAGTTGTTCAGTACTCGAGATGTATATTTATTGTGTTTTAATTTTTTTTTTCGAATCTGCCTCTAGGGGGGCTGCAGTGGCCCCCCTCTGGCGACGTCCTTGGTTATTAGTAGTCAAAAAAATGAAGTTATGTCAAATTGATCTCAGAATTATCTTATTATTTGTGATCAAACTAACAATTTGTTAGTTGTAAAATGTCAAGAGATAAGAAAGTTGCAGATTTTTTCCTTTATCTTTAGAAGGCTATAACTTGGAGGAGAAGAGGTTTTAATTTTAGCTGAAAAATCGGCCCTTAAAATCATTCGCATCAATTTAGATACAATCTGTATATTGAGAATCACCATGTATAAAGGAAACTACTTTTAATGGTCTACTTTTTAATGAAACCTTCCGTTCTTAAATATCTAGTCTAATTCTTCAGATATTAATTTTCATCATTATTTTCGTAATTGTCACATAATTATTTTATGAATTAAAAATTAAATATTTAATTCTAATTTATCGCTTACTCAAAAGAGGGCGCTTTACTACATTAATAATTAATTAATTAGCACAGTTGCATTAAAAATATAAACTCAATGCATAAAAACAATAATATTTATTCCAATTTGTATAAATGTTTTATAAACAATCCCATTTTTCGTCTTCTTTTCTCACATGCTCTCTCTATCTTTCATTGTATTTTGAGGTTAGCACTTATTAAATATGTCGTTCTGTCAAAATTGTTTTCATTTTAATCTCCGTGTGAATAATGCAACAATTTGAATCATTTCCTAAAGACAAACCTAACAAACGAGAAAATCTCATTAACGATGTGATAATTAACGTAAATTGTTGAAGATGAAGTCGTAAAAAACGAAAGAGCCAAACGAATAAATAAAGAAAATATGTCGTTCAGTATGTCAAGTTGCAAAACTAAAGATTTCCAAGAAAATCTAAACGAAAAGGAGGATATAAACGTTGAAAAGAAATGGGATAGATTTGCTAATTGGATACATTGTGTTTGTGTTGTTACTTTTGATTTGGAATTGGGGCAAGCTTTAGAGGTAAACTGTGTTTATATTTGTTTGTTTATTTATTAATATATTTTGTTTTTAGAGTATATATCCTCAACATATAATTCTAAGTAAGCAAGAAATATCAAATATCTGCTACTTAGCATTTCCGGACTCGAATTCTGGTTGTATGGGTGATACAAATTTCATAATACGCCTACAAAATAGTCCATGTAGACAAGATTTGAAGGTAGAACATAAAAATTACAACATGAAATGTCCCCCTACTTTACAAATAAATTCAGGTTACTTTTGGGGTTACGTATATTTTAGGCAAGTTAAAGATATTACATTGCCTAGAGGATATTTTCAAAAAGTACACACAAAAAGTTCTTTTTAAATTAATTATTAAATAAATTCTTTTTAGAGTGTTGTTATTTTATCTAGGTTACCATTTAATAACTTATTTAGTAAAATCATATCTTTAATAGCTCCAGAATATTTTGAAAATAACGAATTGAGTCTTGAAGCTGCTTGTTACAATATTGATCAATGGCCTGTACCTGTACCTGGGGTTACACTTAATTTACCACTTTTAGGTTCTGTATTTCAGGTATGGTATCTTAAAAAATATATTTTTAATTATAAATACATATTTGACTCCCTAAAAGACGTATATACCTCATCACGGATCATCATCACCATCAATTATCCAACTGGCATCACTCAACGAAGTTCCTACAAGTTCAGAAAATCAAATACAAACATCCGTCGAAGATTTAAACTTATTTGAAACACTACAACCTATTTTATCATACGTTGATATGCTTTGGGAACTTGTAGTCACCGCCGAACCTATTGTCGTTATGGCTTCATCTCCAACGCAGTGTTCACAAATGGTTTTAGCACTCACACGGTAAAATTAATATTTCAAAAATTAACTTACTTTTCATCTTAATTTTTTAAAACAGGATTATATCTCCTTTAAAATTTTGCGCGGATCATCGTCCATATTTTACAATTCACGATAGTGAATTTAAACAATTTACAAATAAAGTTCAAGGGCCTCCCCCCGTTATTTTAGGGGTTACTAATCCATTTTTTGGAAAAACATTACATCATTGGCCGCATACGATACGATTGGGTGAAGATACAGGTAAGATTCAATTATTGCATGATTGGAATTTTTTAATTATAATAAATACAGTGTGTTTAATTTTAGCTGTCACAGCAGATATCTTCATTATTGTTGGAGATATGACAAAATGTTACAGAAGGAAAGTTGCTCCACTTTTAATATTGTATTATTTGTCATATTCTAAAAAATAATTGAGCATCAATTTCAAGCAGGGTAGACTTGGTTTCACGCTCTTGCGCTCTCCCAAGTATCATGAATAATACTTAGATCGGCCGACGTCTTCGAAGTCGGCCGAGATTACTTCTTATGTCACGAATAATACTTAGGGTGGCCGACGTCTTCGAAGTCGGCCGAGATTGTTTCTTCTATAAATTTCAAGCAGGTTAAGAGTACTTTTAATATTCTATTATTTGCGATATTCTAAAAAATAATTGAGCATCAAATGTGTTACATACAACATACATTCAAAATTTTAAATCGAAAATGGAATAATCTCGAAAGACGTCGGCTGAAATTATTTCTTCCATAAACTTCAAGCAGGGTAGACTTGGTTTCACGCTCTTGCGCTCTCTCAAGTATCATGAATAATACTTAGGGCGGCCGACGTCTTCGAAGTCGGCCAAGATTACTTCCTCCATAAGTTTCAAGCAGGTTAAGAAAAAACAATCTCGGCCGACTTCGAAGATGTCGGCCGCCATAAGTATTATTCATGATACTTAGATTCAAGGATAATTTTTACTATCATGAATAGTACTTAGGGCGGCCGACGTCTTCGAAGTCGGCCGAGATTACTTCTTATGTCACGAATAATACTTAGGGCGGCCGACATCTTCGAAGTCCGTTTCTTAACTGCCTTTCAGTTTTGAAAAACACGTAAATACGAACATTTGCTGAATTCGCAGTTTTACAATTCATTAATGGTATCACTCGGGATTTTTTTTTAACCTACTTGAAATTTATGGAAGAAATAATTTCGGCCGACTTCGAAGACATCGGCCACCCCAAGTATTGTGAACAATATTTTGGGCGGCCGACGTCTTCGAAGTCGGCCGAGATTATTTCTTATACCACGAACAATACCTGGGGCGGCCGACGTCTTCGAAGATGTCGGCCGCCCTAAGTATTATTTATGCTACTTGGGGCGACCGACGTCTTCGAAGACGGCCGAGATTATTTCTCTTAACCTGCTTGACATTTATAGAAGATACAATCTCGGCCGACTTCGAAAACGTCGGGATAAATATCATAAATATCGAGAAGTGTACAAAAATATGGAAATTAGCAACGAATAATACTTTCCTTCCTCCATAAGTTTCAAGCAGGTTAAGAAAAAATAATCTCGGCCGACTTCGAAGATGTCGGCCGCCCTCAGTATTATTCATGATACTTGGATTCAAGGATAATTTTTACTATAATGAATAATACTTAGGGCGGCCGAGGTCTTCGAAGTCGGCCGAGATTACTTCTTCCATAAATTTCAGGCAGGTTAAAAAAAATCCCGAGTGATACCATTAATAGATTGTAAAACTGCGTTTCACGCTCTTGCGCTCTCCCAAGTATCATGAATAATACTTAGAGCGGCCGACGTCTTCGAAGTCGGCCGAGATTGTATCTTCTATAAATGTCAAGCAGGTTAAGAGAAATAATCTCGGCCGTCTTCGAAGACGTCGGTCGCCCCAAGTATCATAAATAATACTTAGGGCGGCCGACATCTTCGAAGACGTCGGCCGCTCCAGGTATTGTTCGTGGTATAAGAAATAATCTCGGCCGACTTCGAAGACGTCGGCCGCCCAAAATATTGTTCACAATACTTGGGGTGGCCGATGTCTTCGAAGTCGGCCGAAATTACTTCTTCCATAAATTTCAAGTAGGTTAAAAAAAAATCCCAAGTGATACCATTAATGAATTGTAAAACTGCGAATTCAGCAAATGTTCGTATTTACGTATTTTTCAAAACTGAAAGGCAGCATCTGAGAGCAAAGGATCTCTCAGATGCATAAATATCGAGAAGTGTACAAAAATATGGAAATTAGCAACGAATAATACTTTCCTTCTATAACATTTTGTCGTATCTCCAACAGTAGTCGAGATATCTTTTGTAACAACTAAAACCAAACACAGTGTATACTTAACAACACATGACTATGCTATAGACTGCAGAGATCTCAGCTAAGTTCAAAGATAGGATGGAGGATTCATAGTTTAGCTGAGGTGGCTTGCAGCCGATTCGTTATAATTAATACAAAATCCTTCAAAATTGGTTAACAAATACTTAAGGTGGAAAATCTAAATCTTCAACTGATTAAGTCAAGGTCGCTTGCGGCTGAGGCACTGTAATTAATAGCATAGAGATACTGAGACTGATACACAAAGTATAAACGTTATACTACAATCGAAATATACTCCAAGATCATAGAATTTTGTTTCTATCAGAAAATTTAAATGGTGGGGCGTCTAAATAGCACACATAATTGATAAGGATTAATTTTCTAGTGAAAGTGAGGGTTAAAAATTTTTTTATATGAATAAAGGTTAATAATACTAGTTAGAACTCCAAATTAATAGATAAGATTTCATTAACACATCTTGCGCGGGCACTTTACCGCCAAAGTATTACCGTGTAGCGGGCATTAATACCATGTAAAACCAGTTTAGTCGCTTCCCGCTAAAGATGTGAAATCCGCGCAAAACGAGTTTAGTCGCTTCCCGCGCATGATATGTTAACAATAGCAATGAAGTTCTAAATCCAAGATAACTTAGCTTCTTCAACAAGATAAAATGATCTGAACGCCGCTAACATCAATAATAATAGTCGCAGTATATTGTGTGATTTAGGAGAAAAGTTTGTGGGATCAGAATATAAAGATATTCTCTTAATATAAAGATTCATCATCATATTTACTTTGATTCACACACAATGCGCTATGTATTAGGATTCTCAAACTTTTGGTATTCTCAAAGTCCCTTAGAAAGAAAACTCTTAAACAAAGTCTGGATTTGCATAGTCTAAATTAGAGATGGAAAATTCTCGATTTTGAGAATTTTCTCAGAACAAGCTTTTAAATACAAATACAGCTCGGCAAATTCAGTCTGACAGCTGTAACGTGGCATGGTTCACATTTATGGGATTAATTACTATGCAGGACTTATTTATGATGTTTAGAATATATTTGGCGAAAAAAAATAGTTTATTCTTTGAAACAAATAAAAAAAATCAACAAAAAACAAGTATTATTCTAAGAAAAATTAAACACTTATTAGTTCGAATCTAATGAATTTTTAGACAGCTTTGGCAAAGTTTGCAAATCACTGCATTCAATCACTTCAACATCAGAAATGTCTTCATTTCCATCATTAACCTCCACATTGGTGACTAAACCTAATAATATTAAATTATGAGCAATGAAAGTTGTTTTACCAGCTCGTTTAGCCGTAAGCCGATTTCTTTTCGCAGTGTGAATAAAGCTGTAGGTGCTGCAGCTTCTTTCTGTTGCTACTCGATGTAGGAATACTTAATATCTTGACCGCTAGTTTACTTATTGTCGACCCGAAACGAGTCAATTTCCACCATACAGCAGGATGTAGTTTTCCACGGAGATTTAGATCGATAAAGGGCCAATCTGGGCTTGTTACAGTATTGTCTACAAACTCTGTTTCTTGTATTTGTTCTTCTCTATTAAGATGAATTCTATTAAAATTTAGATCTAGAATATTTGTTTCACGCCTACTGGGCATTTTAAACATCTTAATAAATGTTTCGTCATTCTTGTGGCATTTTTGTACAGCCTGTCTCAGAGTAAGCGCCTTATTTTTTTTTAGCCACACTATGGGTACTACTTTCAAAATATTTGGCAGTAATATGTTTTAGGACATTCTCTACACGATGATAATAACATCGAGTGTAAAACATTCATGAGCTACTAGATTAAAATGTTAGTTTGCTTTCTGATGGCAAATGAAATGAATTTTTAAGAAAAACGAAATACTATCGTAAAAAGAATGTTTTTAGGATCTTAATAATAAAAAAAATTATGGCATTCTATTTAAAAAAAAAGTTGAAAGTCGCCATTTTGAAATAATTCGTCCAATTGAAAATCTGGTATCACCATCGTGTAGAGAATGTCCTAAAACATATGACTGCCAAGTATTTTGAAAGTAGTACCCATAGTGTGGCTAAAAAAAAATAAGGCGCTTACTCTGAAACAGGCTGTACATTCCAAATTTACAAACGTACATTATTTTTCCATTACCTTTCTTCATATTAAAATAGTTCCACACATTACTCTATGCTATATTTCACACAATAATGAATGCACAAACCGAAACACGTTCATTTACGTCTGTGGGATTCCCGAGATTCCCGAAGTTTTGTCAGGACCGAGAGAGGGGGCCACCATACACGATGAGAAAATTACCTCGGAGAATTTTCTAGTGGAGAATATTCTTCTCTTTCATCTCTAGTCCAAATACACTGTACAAGTACACCATTGCATTTTCATTTATGCCGGTATGAGTTGAGATACAAACAACGTACGAAACCGTCCACGATCCCGAACCCAGAACTATGGCAATTCTGATACATAATACTTTGAACCGTAAGATCATTTTGCTTAAGGGGGTATGCCACCTTGGAGACCCGAAAATAATAGGTATTTTAAAAATTTTTTTGCAATGAGACGAAAAAAGTTTTCTAAAAACGGGTTGCAGGGTGTGAATAAGCCACTTTTCTAGTTTTAAATACATATTTTATTTATTAACAGTTATTAAAATTGCACCCGCTAGATGTCGGTAATGTTAGGCCTGCAAATCGTGCAGAGTCAAACTGTGCGCAGGATTTCTCCTAACGCGTAAGTAGAATAATTAAAATTTGAATACGATTACTTTAGTAAACTAGGAAACTATACATAGTTGACGAAATGGTGACGATTTTACAAGAAATGTCATTTTACAAAAACGGCTACGTACTTACCTAGAATAAGATAATACAAACTTTTGAAAAAAAAATCTTGAAAATCCGT